GACGTAGTTCAACTACTTGGCGCTGCAACCATTCTAGATTCTGCATGTTGTCTCCATTTTTGTCAACTTCTTTGTTGGAGCTAGATGAGGGTCCCAAAATCTGGCCATCCCCCCGCTTGTCCTCCTTCTTGCCCATCTTCTTTTTCTTGAGTGCAGAGCGGGCATACGGGTTCGGATAAAGGTCCTCCTTCTTGTCCTCAACGATCTGACGCTCCATCTCCTTGTCCGCCTCTTGCTCATTGGTCGGTTCTTCCTTCTCCTCTTCATTCTCCTCTTCATCGGTCAGTTCTTCGTTCTCCTTGTTTTCCTCCCAAATGACATCAGGGGCCATGGAGGTGTCCTGGCTCAGCAAAAACTCAGAGTCCATCGTTTCCTTGGTTTCCTCTTCCTCATTCGTGGCAGCGATGGCTGCATCAGCCGCACGAAGAGCACATTCAGCAGCCGACATGGATCGAGCAAGGTTTTGGGAAGGCGATCCACTCACAGCCACATTGGAAGCAGAAATCGAATCCCCCCCTTCCTCTTCCGACGAAGGGATAGTAAGGGGCAATCCACCATCACCATCACCAGATTCCCCATCCTCCAAAGCAGAAGGACCAGTAGGGACATCAGCAGCTAGATCAGCTGGGTCCGCATCGGCCAAAGGTTGGGCTTCACCACTGCTCTCATCCTCTGTGTCCGTGAAGTCCGGGTCCTGACAATGGAAGTGGGCAAAATGCGGGCAGGAGAGTTCGATAACAGCCACCTAACATAAGGTATTATATGCATGCATGTAGATATTTCGAAAACTGTTCATAGAGATGCTTCGCTATAACTGCAAAAAAAAATCGATATGCATGCACGATCTTTGGCGATAATTTCTTTGGTGTTGGAGTTTGATTTTATAAAGGTTTATGAGATGGTAAAAACCAGTCCTCCCCAGAGAGCGCTGACATCAGCCTCCTGAAATTTCGAGATCGGGCCACCTGGCCTCTGGTACACTTCCTCTTCACCAATACACAGAACTTCTTACAGTACCAAGCATGGAGTTTGATCTGCGCACGATCTGGATTGATTGGGTTGACCAAGGTGTAGAGCTGCGAAATCCTAAGTGTTTTTGTCTATGGAGATGTGGGGAAATGAAAGCTGAAAAATAATCCCAATTATGTACTAATTTGTTGAACCAATTTAGTTCTGGAACCATATGGGTTGTAACAAAAATACATTAGTACGAGGCCACAGGTCAACCCTGATGTTTTTATAGGACACAGGGGCCCAACATAAAACTTTGTGAGATGGATGATGAATTAAACAAAATATGTTGAACACATGGGCAAGCCGCTCGGCTTCAAGGCTTGGAATGGAGCACATGCCCACATCACCACTCTCGGGGTTCACTAGCATCTTCAAAAGAGGGAGTAACACATCAACATGGTAGGCGGCACCTGTGGTGTTGGCCTCTAACTTCTTCCCACCAACGCTCTCTTCAAAGATGCCCCGGTGTTCTCGGACACGGTCCCTGATTGCCCGAACTTGTTCCCATTCAGCAGCCAACCCTTCAAGGCTGACATTTGTAGCCATGCTAGAATGTATGTATCGGGTCAGTCAGGTTTTCAGCACTGGTCCAAATGGCTTCAGAAGCAATATTAATTTAACCATGACTGTTCAAGTGTGGGCGCTATCCAGCAAAATGGTAGACAAGATAAACACATGTTGGATAAGATAAATACGAGTGCAATATGATGAAGTATGTGCCCATTTAAGACAATAAAACCTTGCTAGCGCAAATCATATCCCATTGGGTCATAAATCATAAATATTGGAATGGGCTAGGGCTAGGGATGCTGCATGACCTGGAATGGAAATTTTCAGTTTTGGGCATCTACCCTCTGGGCCCTTGGCACCACCTGATCTTATCCCATCAATCCGCTGAGGCCCTGGCTTGATAGCCAGAATCATCATCAGCGGTCACGTTGGGGCAGGTTGCGCAAAAAAAGTTCGCTGCAGGCGGTGCAGTAAGAGGCAGGGATTTTAAATGGATAATTTAGATAAATTTATGCCACCAGATCTTTATCCAAGTGGTGATTGTGGGCTATTCTGTTCTGATCCCATTGCAATTTGAGAATGCTGATTCAACAATAGGTAAAGATCATCTCGATTCACCTTGTCATAACCTTCATGTAGTAAAATATGATTGAATAATGTTGGGAAATGAGGTCCACCAGGGTCTATCTCCAAAGTACGGCCCTTTTAAGAAAATAGAGGATTTTATATAAATATCCCTTCTTTTTTGAAAGGCATGCAGTTCTAGAGGTCATTTGGGATACAGGTATGTACATATGTGTATATATATATATATATTTATATATATATATATATATCGATGTATTCTATGTCACTATGATGTTTTGCAAAAAGGGATCGGCAGGGTCCGCGTTCATGCAAATACATTCGAGCGGATCATGGCCCATGGCCAAAACAACACTGGCAGCTGCCTTTGCATCAGCTTCTGCTGGGGTTGTTGCCTAGGCTGTCAGTTGGAGGGCCAAATGCATCAATGATATCACTTCATCGGCATGCATCAGTTAGCATCATATTCTCATTGGTCGCAACCCATCAGCGATAACACCAGCAATCCTTTTGACTCGAACTTGCTTGTGCGAAGAAACTCTGCCTGTCTTAGTCCCTACAAGTACCTACATAACATATCAAAACATTCAAAAACTATTTGCAAAACCCAGAACATCTACCTGGGAACGCTATCTGCAATGACCCCGTTCATTCCTCTCTATTCCTTCCCCACATGGCAGGTTCACAAGCAACAGTGCGGGAAAGTTGTCATGTCGGGTTGTCTAGTCGTGCAGGATTTGACAAAGGCCCTGCCTCGGCACGGGGGTCAAATCGGAGATGGTGAATCTGGTTTGCGATCTTGCTGTCAATGATCGTATCCCACACAGAGCTCTTGAGTACCTTGAGCTCCGTCTGTTCAGGCAGGTCCTGGCAAAATTCAGCGAGCTTTGGAGCACTGGGTGCATGCAAATGCACATCCCTGAATTTGGCAAAGATTGGTCCATATGTGAGTCCTGACATATGTGTGTAACAAACCTCATCCAACTAACATTTCTTTCTCCCTGCTTCTCTCGGCTCACTCCCACGCCTGCCCCTGCTCTGGTTTGGTTTCCTCCAGCAGCAAAATGTGTTGTCACTTGGAAGAAGAAAAATATCATCAGCTGCAGCATTAAGGTGTTTCGTTGAAGGAAGGTGTAATTCCATGTAATTCCAGCAGTTTAGACTCCTGGCCCCCATGCATGACAAGCCCCTATTAGAATGTTTCTAAAACTTGGGTTGCTGACACCAAATTGCAAACGGCCCAGTTGCCTTATCGTGCTTTGGTTCATCGGCACCATGTCCGCTTTCGCGAACTGTTGCATGCGAAGGGCTTGGCATCACAAATGCCTACAAGTGCAGCAAACTCACAGGTCAGATAATTTGAAGTGTTTCTCCGTCGCTTGTTTGGGGATGTTTGGGGACTTGAACTTGAATTTAGTTACTCCATAGCCCTTTGCGAGTAAAACCAGAGGTTGCCAAGGTAGAAGGGCACCCAAAAAGGACAAAGCATGAAGGATCCATACCAAGGACCTCATCCTCTACTGAATGATTCTGATCATTCGGCGCTTGTATATTCTTGAAACCCCGTGAACTTATTGCAAATCAGAAACTTGCTGGTCGAACAATAGGGTAGCAATATCGTATCATACAATAGCATCGCTTGTCCGACGAGACACCTTCAGAGTTTCCACAGCTGCATTCGTTCGAATCTCCGCACGTCCAGATGCTTCTTGGAATTTGCTTTCCTTGAATTCCAGCTTGGCCAAAAATTCCAACCACCCACCAGGCACATGGCAGTTGACGACCATCACCATGAATTGAGCTCTGGAAATCCCGACATACAGCTTGGCCCGAGTCACCAAGTCCACTTTGGCGCCTTGACCCTCAATCGGTTCGTCGAGCCCAACACAAATGACCATTAAGGCCTCATGCCCTCTGCTGTTGTCAACTGTATCCAGAATGATCAATTCATCTTTTGTTTCAGATGAGTATGTAGGCAGGAAACTGAGGGATTCTCTGAACGAAGCCAACCGAAAGCTTCGATGTCTGAACGAATGGCCCAGCTCTGCCTGCAAAGGCCCTTTGAGAGATTCCAAAAATCTGTCACCTGGGACCAGGATAGCAATACGACTGTGAAAACTGCACAGGTTGGGGTATGATTGAGCCGCATGTGAGAAGGCCTTCATGACGAATGCGGAGTATTCCTTCTTGTAACCGCTAGCCGTAATTTCATCTGCACTCTGAAAAAGAAAACTTTTTAGAGGTGGGCCATCTGTGCCAAGACTTGTCGCTTGTTGCTCTTCACTCAAGATCTGAAATGCGGCTGCTCCTCTAACTATACGTTTGGTGCTCCTTACAACCTCCGTCAAAGCTACACACTTGATGTTTGGGTAATTGATGTTCACATTCATATCAGAACACTGAGAAGTGTCTGAGAGCAAAAGTGTGCTTTCTGAGCTGACATGCTCTGAAATGTTCCTGCAGTGGCCAAAAACTTCATGAGCTTCATCAAATACTGCCAAGAAGAACTTCTCATTCAATGACACTGGCGTGGTCGAAGTCTGCACAATCTCATCACCTTGAGTGCTCAAGAAAACAAACTCTTCATAGGGTTTCTGAAGCATGATGACCCTTCGCATCAGGGTTTTCATTGCGTCACGGGTTGATTCCACTGTTTCTGCAGCTTGCCATCTGGCCAACCATCGTAAAAAATAAAGACCAAGGGAAATGCAAGGCGAGACATAGAGAACACGACCTTCAGGATTTGCTTGGAGCTTTTCCAGCACGTATTTCACCGCTAGAAATGTCTTACCCGCCCCAGCAGGGGCAGTTATTATTATTATGGGTTGAACGACTGGATGCCTCAAATACCCGAAGGTACCGGACACCGCAGCCAACGGGACATGATCAATTCATGTTTTCACGCACAGTGGCCCTGACCCGGGCGCAGCAGGGGCAGTTAGGTGCAGGTTTTGATTGTCGAGTTGCTTCAGCTCCTTCAGTTTCTCTTCCTGATGCTGAGTAAGCTTTGACAGCCTCTGCAGACTCCTATCATAGCTGTCCAGAAACTCTGACTGGTCCACGTGAATCTCTGATCTAGCATGAGGATCCTGTGCCAAAGCTTGCTTCATGTTCAAATTCAACTCACCACTGAGAACTTGATCCCGCAGCATTTGAGCGATCTCAATCTTGTCGGTCTTCACATTGAAAGCTATCGATGGGGTACCATGTGGCAGTCTCGTTTGATAGGGCAATTCTGCCTGAATCCCCTTGGGAATGGCACTCTGCAAGGCCTTTTTCAAAAAATCATGGCGACCGGTGTCGAGCAAATTGTGAATTGCTTCTGTTGCGTGACGAATGTGCCTCGACACAAAGATTTGTTGTGTCTCTTTGCACTGAACAATCCACTTTAATTCTGCCGACCTTGTCACTACATCATGGTCAAAACTTGGGACAGTCATCAACAGCACGCCTGTTCGCCACCTGTTGCCCTGCTTGGCATCAACCGTGGAATGCACCGGGAACTCTTTCTCCAAAAACCTGGTTACGTCAATCTCCTCATAGTCCCACGCCGAGCCATGCTCAGCCCGCATGTGTTCTACATATGCGATCTCACATTTCTGGCTTCCGCCGCAGCCAACGCCATCCCATAAGTCTCTGTACTTGAGCTCTCGAAGCATTAATTTTCCTTGGCCCTTTTGGCCAGGAAAAAATACAACTCTGAGAGTCTGCTTCTTCTCAACGGCTTCGTGCAC